CCGCGCTCGGTGGGTGGTGTGGACGCCCGCGCAGTCCCAATGGCGTTCCGGGCTCGCCACGTCAGAGCCCATTGGCTCCAGAGGTGGTGACGCCAGCTGGGAGCCCGGGGAGTCAGCAGCTGCCTCTGGGTTTTGGCGGGGAATCGGGGTGGGCGGGCGTCAGTCGGAGGAGGAGACCTGTCTTTCCTGCCCTGGACCCCTGTGTCGGGGCCTCCCCAGGACCCCCACAAAGCTATCTAGGCCGCCTCCCTGCTCCAGGAAACCACTGTCCTCTGGATTGGCCCCGGGATTGGTGGATCATTGAGTCAGTGCACGTCTGGCTCCCATCAGGGCCTGACCAGGGTAGAGGGGGACAGCACCCCTGTCCTCCTGAGGTAAACATCCAGTAGGCCTGGGGGATGAGCCAAGTCAGCCAGTGAAATAACGCTGGGTAGAGACCACTTGCTCTGGAGAGCCACACGGGTGCACAGTCTGGGTGTGGTTGGGGCTTCAAGTCAGTCAGCCGCTCCTGCAGACACAGGCACCTGGGCATAAGCCTGGAGGCAGCCATGGGGTGGCCGGGAGGGGCGAGGCTGGCTGATCTGCACAAGGGGTGTGACCCTGGGGCTGCTGCCAGGCTGCAGGGGCAGGGGGTGGAGCTGCTCTGTCCCTGGAGGCGCCCCCTCAATGCAATGAGGATCATGGTTTTTGGTTTCCTGCCTTGGTCTCTGTCATCTGGTCCCCAGCAGCCCTCAACTCGGGACTCTGGGTCCGAGCATGTTTCTGGCCTGCGGGACTGTCAGGCCCTTTACAAGCAGGACCTACCTGCGATGCTTCATCTGGTTCTCAGTAGACCCAGCTTTCTCCGAGTGCCCCCCACCTTCTGTCCTGCTGCCCTGTCCGGGGGGCACCTTGGGGAAGAGGCTGGTAATCTTCCCTGTCGCAGGTATCTGCCCACAGCTGGGCTTGGTGGAGCTCCCGCGCTGTCCACACAGAGCACTTGGCCCCAGCTCCCAAATGTTTGGGATGACTCGGGCCCTCAGTGCAGGTTCGTTTAAAGAACACTATGAGCACTGAACATGGCCAGCACCAGGGCCTTTGTGGCCAGCAGTTTGTTTTTTATTTTTTTGAGACAGAGTCTCGCTCTGTTACCCAGGCTGGAGCATAGTGGCACAATCTTGGCTCACTGCAACCTCTGCCTCCCAGGTTCAAGTGATTCTCCTGCCTCAGCCTCCTGAGTAGCTGGGACT